TAGTACAATAGAAAAATACCCACCCTAAATTTATGTCGATCATTTCCTGATTGTAAACTTTTGTCCACCGAGTGTACTACTGTTAATACATATGATGATTGTAATCCGAAAAAATTGCATCATTACTCATGCATCAACATTATCTATTAGTATTAGCAATGCCATCGCCTCGAAAAACCTGTTGTCTGTCAATAACTAATTCTGACAATGCAGTGAAAAAGCCTGACAACAATGACGACCTTTTGGCATAAAAATATCTTCCATATATTTAGTATTTTCTGATACTCGCAAAAATTCCTCATGTCGTCTTCAAATAACTCGCATCTTACACAAAACTACGAAAAAAAAAACTCCAAAAAGAACAAACGAATGCCCAAATTTCAAATGAGACGAAGATGGGTCTGATGCGTGATAGAAGAAAACATAAAAGAATGCGTATTGCGAATTGTTTATTTTGTGTATTCGTTCGTACTTTTCCCGCTCTCAATCTATTTCTTACTTTTCAATAATTTTCGTTATATCGATATATCCTCATGTAACTTCCTCGAAAAATCATAAAAAATGCGTGCACGGTTCTTGTGACTCGATCTCTACAGTTTTGTCCAAACTCTAGATCGGAGAAAAAACGAATACGTAATTAAAAATTCGAAGACATTAATAATAATTACCATAAGGATATATTGCATGAATGGTGTATTTTTTTTGGAAATAAGACACGTTGCTCATTTCATTTCTAATCTAAATTTGTGCGCTTATTGTTATGCATGCTTCTCTTCTAGAATTCGGTCGCAGGCAAAAAGATGTAAAATTTTTTCTTAAACGTCGAAATCTTTACTCTGCGAATTCAGGCTAAAAAACTAAATTCATTCTAATTAAAAAAAATCATTTTAATTAATCAAATTTTCACAAGATTTGACTGTTTCTAACTTTTTGATCAGTGAGAATTTTCTTTTTTTTAGACATGTCTAAATATATCATGTCATATTTCCAAAATAATCGATTAACTTTTCAAAATGGAATAACGTTAAATACAAAAAATATGATATAGGCATTGACGCAAGAACAAAAGCTAGCGCACACCCTCGTTCTTAGAGCACTGGCTCATTACACACTCTCACACTATGATAATCGAATTCCACGAGAGCCAGAACCAAAGAACAAAAAAAAAAACTTCTGCCCATGTTTTGACACTAGGAAGCAACAGCAGCAAAAAGGAAACTTGAGCGCCTAATTTCCACATCTTACGTAAAATTTACGTAAATTAGCAAGATAAGACCGTGAGAATCGATAATGATAACAATAACATGAACATCACGAACATAACATAACAGAGATGTACTCAAGCTCAACTCTGCATTTAAGTTTATCGTCAAATGTATTTTTCCGTTTTCATTATGTACGATACATTATCGTTATCGTTATGCTTGGCTATGCTGCACATACTTGCACATTCATACATTTCTTTCAAATATACCAATATAGGACGATAGACCAATATCAACGTGTAACCAAAATATCCAGTTTATTCTTGGTGTTGGGGAAAATGGATTACACCCTAACAAACATTTAAATATTTATCTGGGAATGTTTTTATTCCTCGTTATTTATTGACTTATTTATATAAAGCACTTTGGTCTTTCTTCCTTCAGGTTGCAAGCTTGATTATTCTTAATTCTCCCTGATTGCTTTGCTTTACGTTTCGCACTTTTTAATTCTTGCTTGCTTCAAAGTTTCGAGTTCTTTGGATTCTTCTCGATCAAATAAGCGGCCGTTTCATTGTGAGACCTTGTGCAAGTGTTTTATTACATCAGACTCGATCGTTATGTATGTTTTTCCGAATTGGGAATTCTAAATGTATAATATATCGATCTTTGTTCGAAATCGATTCTCATTGTTATATATCATTTCATTTACTTTCCATTATAATTACAAACAATAGATAATAGAGATACTAGACATACTAGACAATAAAAAATAGAAGATAAAACAACGCTAAAACAAAGGAAAAATAACTAAACCAATTTATCGCACATATATTCACTCCTTTCCGAAACCGACAAAGTTCAACCAACTCGCATACACGCTCTCTATATAAAAAAAATTCAGTATTAAAAGGACAGAAAAAAGGGCGGGAGAAGAGCTGCAGTCGCGCATGTCAACGTGAGCAGCATACCAAGTATAACGATAAAGTTGGAGAACTCGCCTTTAATAGAAGTAAAGAAGTGGAAAGTGTGAGACTGTTGCATCGAGAAATGCGCATGAATTTCTGCTAACTATAGAAAAGCACTAAAAGCACGTTTTTACCTTGTCGTCTTCAATAAAAAAAACTTTTAAGAATATCAACAAGAACAATAAGCAAAAAAAATTCCATAATAAGAACAAAAATGGGCACGTGTATAAGCAAAAACCCAGAATCGACAAACTCCGGCCAAATAATAATACACCCAAAACATAATAAACTTCAAAAGAAACGAAGATCACAACGAAGAAAACTAGAAGGTGCCCCTAATAACAATCACGACACATCACTATTTCCACCTCCAGGAAAAACTTGTCTCACATGCAACCAACCATACACGACGCGCAGTGTTCGCGGATGGTGTCAACCGTGTGAAGCACGTCGTTTCCAGGACGATTTTCCAAACTGGAATACTGGGAATGCCGCGTTAGATAATTTTATTAGAGAGTCACAGTTGCAGAATAGCATGCCGAATCGCTTTTTGGAGTGGATTCCGTTCGATAAATTTCAGGGCGTAAGAGAAATCGGGAGGGGAGGTCATGGAGTGGTGTATAAAGCTACTTGGCATATGGGACCAAAATTGTATTTTGATGAGATGAAGCAATATTGGGTTCGGGAAGGTGAAACTAAAGTGGTGCTAAAAAGATTGTATGCTTCACAACTAGCTAATGAAGAATATTGGAACAAGGTAAGCCGAATGTTATATTCACTAGTGAATAAATTCTTTAAATCAATTAACACTCAAAATATGATTACCTTTCAGTTGCATTCGCATCGATCTACTCATAGTAAATGTGTGCCAAGGTGGTATGGACTCAGTCAAGATCCACAATCACGAGAATACATAATAGTATCACAGCCAACGGACGTTGACTTACGACAATATCTGCGTGAAAATTTCAAGGAACTAACGTGGGAGAAAAAGCTCGGAATCGTATACAACATACTGCACGGTCTCATGGAACTTCATAACTCACGAATAGTTCACAAGAACCTCCACAGTGGAAACATACTACGACAATACAACGGCTCGCAATCACTCACCTTTATCACAGATTTAGGCCAATCGTGTTCCCCAATATCTAAATCCAAACATCAAGAAATTTACGGTGTATTGCCTTACACAGCACCAGAAGTATTGTACGGATATCCGCACACCGAAGCATCAGACGTGTACAGTTTCGGGATGGTAATGTGGGAAATTGCCGCTTCGCGTCCCCCGTTTTGGGATCGAGCACACGACGCGAAACTGGCATGGGAAATATGTGATGGACTCAGACCCGAGATTGTAGTCACAATGCCAATGTGTTTCGTCGAATTGATGGAACAGTGTTGGCGAGCTGACCCAAAAGAACGACCGGATATACGTAGTCTTGAGAAAACTTTAATGTCTTGGGGATGGCATATGGGACTATCTCAGAAACAAAAAATTGCTGAACAATTTGTCGCCGCGGAACAAGATCGTCTGAAAGCAATCGAAGAGGCTGGTGATAACGTGATGGAATCTGCGTTCCCAGTGTTGCATCCGAAAGCTATTTATTATAGTAGACGTTTGAATTTCCCGGATTTACCAGATCCACGTGATCGAACATTGACATCTGTTGCTTGTAGTAATGACATTTATAGTGTTTATAGTATTTATAGTGAGAGCGAATATGCTAGTAGTTTTGTTAATTCTATCAATGAGAATAACAATAGTGATGTTGGAAGTGAAGAGAAAAGATACTCGCGAGCTTTCCTTCGTGAAGGATTGGCAACAGTAACAACATTTCGTTTGGGTGTTAATAATGGCAATGAGCTTGCGGTAGTAGGACCTAAGTCGATTTCTACGGACAACAACAACAACAACAACAATAATTATAATAATAATAATAATAGTGTAGATAGACCGTTTTCAGTACGATCTACTACTGAACTTGATCCTGCCCAAGAACAACAACAAAAACAACAACGGCAGGGAAGGTCATCACTCTATTCAATAGAAGCGACTGAAGATGAAGGTTATGAAGAAGGTAATAATTTTAGAATCTTATTGTAGGTTCGTATCATGTACGTGTACGTGGTATTTATTATTTGATTGAATGAATATTGAATTTGGACGTTTATGATAGTTTCTCACGTTTTGATAAATTTATAGAACACAAGCTAAGTTTTCCGATCACGATAAGTAAAAGCATGGCGTCTGAAATCAAGAACAACAACAATAGTCTTGAAATATCACTTGGTGAGCTTCCGTTTCCAGTCATAAATGTATTGTAGCTTTTTGGGTGAATAATTTTAACATGTTCATTTAATTCGTGAAAAGTGGTTTATAACGATCGAATAAACTCCAAGAAATCGTCATCGTCACTTCGAAAAGATAAAGACTCACAACGTTGTGGTGGGGGAATAGAGATATAGATTTATATTGATCTATCGATGTCTGGTTTCGGTGGAGATGAACTATTTGGATTATTTCGCAAATATTAATATATGTATATCATCTTATTAATTTAATTATCATTGGTACAGTTGGTTATATGGTGGAATTGGCGGAATCAGAGACAATTTGGTGAATGTACAATAACTATACTTAATCAATTCAATTATAATTAGCCTTATACTCGATTAACAAAACCTTGTTACATACACAACCTAATATCTTATCTATATATACACCCCTTTAAATAACAAACAAACAATGGCTTCTGAATTTTCTTATCCGATTTAATTTTTTTTTTGTTTTCTAGAAATTGTAATAACTTTTTTCATTTCTCTTCTATTGTAGTCATCTGCTATGATGTCACGTGTTTAATCATTTAATTAGAACACAAAAATTAGGTTACACAAATAGTAAAGAAAATTGTAATGCATATGTACACGATAAACTTTTGGAATACGAAAGTTGATTTTGAATTGGTTTATTTGCGAGGAGTATGGGTGTTAGATTATTGAAGAACAAGTCAAAAAGAAGTTTCTTCTGTTTGATGATGAGGCTCGACTAACTAATTTTTCTTCCTCCTCACGAAAATAATAGTATTCGTAGTTGCAAATATCAATGTCCTGATAATTCGTATGGTCAACGCACGTATACTTCTGATCTTGCATGTGTTTAACTCGGTGTTTTGTTGTGTCGTTTTAGAAAACGGGCATGAAACTAATGGGAAATATTGTAATGGAAAGAAAACTTATTAATTCTATTGCTCATCCTAAGAAATGGACGAAACTTCTGAGTGATAAGTATGATAAAAGGATTTGATGATATTTATAATGATATGTAAATTCTACCATTGAGAATGCTTGATAAATTGAATAGTACAGGAAATGTAACTATTATTTCCATTAATTATTACTTTTTAAAAAAACCAGAACACAATTATTATCATTACTAAATTAAAAATAATACAACAAAAATTATATAACAGACGAGATGCTAGTATCATTATGTAATAAGAAAAAAACACTGAATTAGAGAAGTTATGGTATCAATGACAATTAAACAAAGAAAATGTAACTCGCTCTCCTCACCACAAATATAAATATTCATGCTTCTATTTATTTACCTGTCTAATGATCATTCCACTATTCGAGGTTTGGCTTGAGCTTGAGGTGACTGGTATTGTGGTGATAATTTACATAGTCTCGCGACAAGTCCAGCCAACTGCAGCAAAGATTGGACTCCTTCGAGAATCATCATATGAGTATGTCCGATTTCCTGGTTTTGTTTTCAAATGAATGGTAAATAATCAATTGAAAAAAAAATGAAACCCACCATTCATCAATCAGTTTCAGAAAAATCAAATATACATACATAAATCATCTGCAACTTTAAATCCTCTGGAATCCCCGGAAAAGTTTTCGTGACCCTGAAAAAAGTCGTGACGATATCCACAGCACTATACCCAAAGTCCCAAAGTTGTGTCAGATATTTCAACGATTCATCGATATTACCGACGAGACTATACTCGATGACTTGGGACACAATGTGCGGGTGTGGCGTGTCGCACACTTTGAATACGTTTTCCGAGTTTACGTAGTTGAAGGCGGACCAGGTCGATTGTAGGTTGTTGATCGCTTGACGCATGTCTCCGTCCGCAGTGTACATTATTGAGTTTAGTCCTTCGTCGTTATATTTTACCTTTGATAAACATTTTAAAATATTTAACGATTAAAATCTCAGCTTGATCATTAATAACAATATTATTAAAAACTTACATTTTCTATTTCACATATTTCCAATAATCGTTTTAGAACTTGCTCATTAGACAATCTGCTGAACCGCAGAATAACGCATCTGCTCTGAATCGGTTCGATAATTTTGTTCGGTTGATTACACGCGAGCGCAAATCTCGTTATATTCGAGTACATTTCCATGATACGACGAAGAGCTTGTTGCGCTGATGCTGTCATACTAATGATAATAAACAATCGTATGATCGTTAATAGTATTAATAAAATACAATACATGAAAGTTCTTGATCCTTAATTTATCAATAAATACCCATCGAAAAAAGCCGTCTTGTTCTTACCTATCAGCTTCATCAAGCACAACTATCTTTGTTTGACCAGGTGGAAGCGTTAATTTCATTTTAGCGAATGCCTTGATTCTGTTTCGGACTACTTCAATTCCTCTAAAAAAAATATGTAACCATATTAGATTAATTAACAAGTGTAAATCAAATGGCACTTACTAACCGATCATCAGACGCGTTCAATTCCAGTATGGCTTCTTTTGCCTTATCTCCCAACAACATATTCCCAAGAGACACAATACTAGTCGTCTTACCGATCCCTGGAGCCCCCTTTTCATATTGATATTTACATGCATTAATTTAGTAGAACAAGCTTCTCTACACGTTGTTATTATCCAAAAAAATCAATAAGTACTGATAATAGCAGGTTTGGCATGTTCCCTGTGCTCGCAATGACTTTAAGCCGATCAATCGTTGCCTCGTTGCCAACAATCTCGCCTAAGACGCGTGGCCGATATTTTTCTACCCTAAAGATAATATACGAGTTGTTTGAGCATTTTCGATTTATTTACGCGTCAAACCATATTAACCGTTAGCAATCTTTAATTGAAACTGTATGTACCAAGGCAGCTGGAAAGAGTCGATATTTCCTTTAAATTGCCCTAGTTCAAGAGAGGCGGAAGAAGACATTTTTTTATAAAATTGTGTAAAATGTTTAGGAATTCACGTTTGTTATTCGTTCATAAACCGTGAAGGATTCCGAATAACTCAGGTTCCGGTCACACGTATTTTGGATGTGTCTTAATCATTCGTAATGCTGAAATTGTTAGAAGGAATTGGATTAAGTTATCCAAAATTGTATGTTGTTACTGCTTTAAATTCTGAGAAGCTAAAAAGCATCAAACTCCAAGGTCATTAACATTGTAGAAACAAGAAAAACTGGCTTAATCAAGGTCACATTAGGGTGTTTTGTACAACCATTCTGAATTCTGAAAGTTGCCATATTTTAATTTGCACATAATTTTTACTTTGTACATGATGAATGACATTGAAAGCAGTTTAACAATAAAATTAGCAAAAGAACATAACATGAATTTTCACCTAACCACTTAAAACATCGAATTGACACACAATGAATGTAGCCATGCAAACTTTTTTTGACCACCTCCGGGGACCATCATACTTTTATTTATTTCGAAATAAATTTTGCCCAGTGGCAAAAAAACTAGTCAGCCAACACTATTCGGATGCCATGCTTCGTTAACAAGGTCGACAGATCACAGTTCTGCTGAAGGAATATTTGTTCCTATTATTATTAAGTTGAAGATTAATAACACACCAATAATTATTAGAGAATAAAACAAAAATAAAGAAATAAACATCTTACCTCCGCAGTCATCCTCACTACACTATTAATCGGAGGTCCATATCTCTCCAAATAAAATTTTAACAGGTCGACATCACCGTACCGGATGTTTTGCATGATCAACATCCGGTATGTTTTTTTTTGCCGAATGTCGGCAAGATGCCAATCTTGGTGACGCCGTCCACGGTTGTTGCTCGCACCAAGCCCTCCTACTACGCGTCCGCCACCACCACCGTTCCGTGAGGCGAACTTTGCATTCATCCTCGACGCGTACTTCTCCAAGAACTGTACCTTGGGGTTGGGCATTTGCTCGTTCTCTACCTCTACATAAGATAAGATAGTCAAAATTAGTGAAAGAAAGAAAATTATAGATCGAGTAACAATAATATTTTGTTTAGCTTACCTGAATCAAGCATTGCTGGAGGCAAATAATTGGGCTGCTTGTCCAAGGAATAGAGAACGGACCAATACATTGGCCAGTTCGGATCTTGATGCCGCAATTGCATTAGACTAGGTCTTGTGATGTTGTTGCTGGTGTTTCGGTTGCTGCTACTGTTGTTGTTGCTGCTGCTAATACCACTAAAATCAACAGCCATTTCATCATCATCATCGTCAAGGTCATCGGTTACAGGTGATGGTGGTGGTGGTACTTGAGAATCAACTGTATCAATAAAAAATTCATCAAATATACGGTCCAGTAGACGCGGTGCTCGATATTGCAAGTGCGCTGTATAAGCGAAAAGCACTAGCGAGCCAGAGCGCACCGATAATCCATAGACATTCTTCAAGTAATGAATAAGCTCGCGTTGAAAATGCAAGTAGAAAGTTTTGCAGGTCCTTGATAGATATGAGTACTCAGTGAGACTTAGATGTTCAGCAACGCGAGTAACTAATTCAGGCGGCATTGAGAGGATATTCGCGCCAGAAGACAAAGAAGAATGTGGTAAAGCATTTGCTGCGCTGCTGCTGCTGCTGCTACTACTACCAACAACAACGCTGGCGTTTGGCAATATCCTTGATGAGGATGCGAAAGGTAATGTTGATGTCGGACCAGACGAAGAAACCGAAGTTGTACTGCCAGGGATAAAATCTTCAGGTTTAGCTTCACGCTGCATTTGTGAAAGTAAGGCGGCAGTAGTTGGCGGAGTTGGTAATGATGATGTTGCAGCGCCGGAAATATCTCTTCTATCCAAGTTGCTGGGGGCAGGTGGTGTTGGACGAATGCCAGTTGGATATAAATCGTAGTTGTTGTTGTAATTGAATGTATTTGAAATAGTTGTAGAAGTATTGGTTGTGCTATATGATGGATTGATAGGACTATATTCTGGTGAGGTTGATCTCACAAAACGTGACGGAGATACATTATTCTCGTTAAATCGAGGATCGTTCAAATATTCTGGAGTGTCAACCAATGGTATAATATTAGGACTAGGCAAACTTCCTCGAAAAATATATTCATCTTTTCGTGATATATGTTCATTTGTTATTTGTGTTAATGAATTTTCCTCTTCCTCGTCATCTGTTTCACTGTCTTCCGACTCGTGATTCTCAATTACAATTCTGTCATCTTGTTCATCTTCGTCTTCGAAATCTTCCATTAAAATGTTCTTGCTGCTAAATAATTCTGTAGAGTTCTTGCCATTATCGCTATTCTCTTGATCACGCTCCGTCTGTGTTTCATCGTATTGTTTTTCCACTCCAGTAATAATATCACTAGCGAAAAACTCATCTGCTTCTGCTATATTTGTATTTGATGACGTGAAAGCCCAATCTGATCCTGATTCTGTTTTATTTTGTGGTTTTATATCATTAAAAGTAAAAGATAAATTTGACTGTTGTTGTTGCTGTGATGAGGTAGTAGAGATGTCTCCAAATCCGAGTATACTCGAAGGAGATGGTGTATTTGATGGTAATGAAGACGACGGTACTCCAAATTCAGACATTTTATTTGATGATGATGATGATGTAGAGCTTCCTGTTCCAAATCCGGGTAAACTCATTGGAAGGGAATTATTTGATAAAGATGAAGTTGTTTCTCTCAATTCAGGTATAAATGGTGTAGTAGTAGTTGAAAGCGAACTATCTGTTTGCTGTATATTGATAATAGAATTTTCACTAAAACCAGGTAACCCCATTGGCAGAGGATTATCTAATTGCTGACGTAGAAACGTAGTAAAGGTAAAATCCCCTGGAAATGAGGTATCCGATTGCTGCTGCGAAGACGACGACGTCGTGGTCGTGGTTCTTCCTCTAAACCCAGGCAACCCCATTGGAAGTGGGTTATTACTTGTTTGCTGCTGCGATGTCCTTGAATTTCCTCTGCTTCTACTAAACCCGGGCAACCTCATCGATTGCGAGTTATTATTATTATTCTTATTATTACTCATACTACTACTACTACTACTACTATTACTATTACTATTATTACTACTGCTGCTACTGCTGCTGCTGCTAATACTATTATTATTATTATTATTATTATTATTATTATTATTATTATTATTATTTGAATGCGACCGTTGTGAGGACCTCGAGTTACCCCTGTTTCCTGACATGCCACTCATGAGAGAATTATTATGATTATTATCAGTAGTATTATCGTCGTTATTTCTTGACGATTCGCGAGGTCGTAGTCGAGTAAGGTATGAAGATTTGACACGCATGTTCTTTTTTATGTTCTTTTTAAATCAAATGAAGAATAAAATAATTTATATTTTAGAAGTTTCTTCAAATTCTATCGTGTTGTGCGAGCATAAATTTCTATAACAAATACAATCTTTAGGTAAAAAAATGTGTGTGTGTGTTCCGGACGACAAGGCTCACAACAGTTCTATACCTTGAGCTTTGCTGCAAGCGTGCAAAAAATATATCTTGTGTATGGTGAAAATACTATAAAGATTTTTTTCGTTCTGACCTATGTATGGCCAGCGTTGCACAGCAGTACGGGTAACTTATCAAGCAGGACGTATTATTATGGATACAATATAGATACTTGATCAGTTGATTATTGGGTAATGCAAAGTCGGGTTTTTATGCAGCACAGATGATGGACAAAATTTTTTGTCCATCTATGTTCGTTTGATTGATTACAATGTTGCTTACACCTAAACTTGATCACATCACCACAGCCGATTATGAAAATGTCTATGAGCCAGCAGGTATTTTATCTTTAAAAAATTGAGGATGATGATCAATGATGAATGTTGTTAATTGACTCTTTCTTTGTAGAAGACACGTTTCTATTTATGGATGCACTTGAAAAAGATGCCAATTTAATTAAAGAACAAGTGAAGCCAAGCATTTGTTTAGAGATTGGGTGTGTGATGTTAAAGTGGAATTATTGATAATGTTGGTGATGGAATATTAATGAAATGAATGGTCTTTGGTAAGATCAGGATCGGGTTGCATATCGACTTTTCTTGGTCAGTTACTTGGCGATAGTAGTAAATCACGTAAGTATCAGACACGCTCTGTGTAATTGCACTTATTTCCTTCGAACTTTTATCATTATATATTAAACTATCGATTACAGTTATCCTATGTACTGATATAAATCCGTATGCTTCACAAATAACACTTAAAACTGGTAAATCAAACATGGTATTTTATTTTGACTCATTATAAAAATATCCATTTTGGATTCAATCTTTCTCTTTCTCATGACACGTCATTAATGGTGATCTAATTCGTATAATAAACCAAAAATAGATCCAACTTGATCCCATATTAACAGACTTGACATCCGGTCTTTTACCTCGCCTCCGTCATTCTGTCGATATATTGTGTTTCAATCCACCTTATGTGGTCACGCCGTCAGAGGAGGTGAATTCTTCGAATCTGATCGAGAAAGCGTGGGCGGGCGGCGTTGATGGAAGGGAGGTGATAGATCGGACGTTGCCGTTGGTTGATGTAACTGCTCTTTATACATGTTATATATACCTCCACAAACGCAGTTTTGACGAATTAATCGCTTAAACTAGGAATTATTATCTGCGCGTGGCGTATTCTATTTGTTGGTTATAAGCGAAAACAAGCCAGATGATATACGAATAATCATGCAAGAACGATATAAGTTCCAATCAGAGGTGATTAATAATATATCCTTTATAATGAATAGTATTGCGATAGTGATCAACGAAAAATAAAGCGCTAATTTAAAATGTTTGTTCACCTCTAAGGTTGTCTTATCACGACTTTCGGGAAGAGAGAAAGAGATTATTCTAAAGTTTAGACGGTGATATACTAAAGAGAGGAATTGATGGTGATTCACTTTCAGCTTAATTGTATTTGTTGCTATGACGATTATTACGATCATTATCTGGCATACAATTTGGAAATTCTCATTTTATTAATACTCGTCAATTTTTTATGCAGGTAAATGCGACACGTGGTTTTCCACGTGAGATTTCTTTGTATTTGGTGACAATTCAAATTAATTCTTTGAGCTCGTTAGTTTCGTTGCCATGAATCTTTGTATACTCGATTTTTATTACGAATAACTTCTTGTCAGCTACTAATAATCATTTTTACAGTTTCGAATATATCTGAGAATCACAATCAAACAAATAACGAAGCTATATTATTATTATTATTATTATTATTATTATTATTATTATTATTATTATTATTATTATTATTATTATTATTATTATTATTCATTATTCATTATCATTATTATTATTAAGAAAATATTGTGTCCCGCACAATTAAATTCTTTCAATTGCCCCACAACCAATCGGATAAGAATCTCTTAACACCATAAAAAAATTGCCTACTGTCAATCCTCCTGTCCCGCTAAACTTTGCCATTGTAGTCGCTTTGATGACACTTAATCCTCCACCACCGCTACCATAATTCAATGCTAATAGAGAAGTGATTTCATCGGTTAAATCGTAGATTGTCTCCTGCCAATCTTGGCACCCATTTCCACTGACCACTAAAAAACTATAATCGCCTTCGAGTTTCTCGATCCCTTTTAAATATCCCATCAAGAATATCGTGTCGTACGATGACGAAGATAATGATTCTCGTGGAGAAGATGAGGATCTTTTTTGGTGGTATAGACGGACCGATCCGGTCACTGGATAACTTATCGAAAGTCTTCCAGTTCCGACCGGAAAATATCCCACGGATCGAATTTTTTTGTTGTCATTTGATGTGCCGAAAATTAGTACGAAGAATATACTTGCCGTTAAAATTACCGTTAATATTATTAACAGAAATCTTTTTGGTGAATGCTTTGAGGGTGACAAGGATGAAGGTGAAGCTTTTTGTATAGCGTAAAGTTGACTCTCCATTTGAAATTCTGGTTTTTAATTTAAAAGACTGGTCGTTTTATTTATTAATCAACTGCGCAATTTTTTTTTGATTTGTGGTTATCGTTATTGAACACCATCTCTTTTTATAAGGAAACTTGTTTGAGGAACAAACAACACAAAAAAGAAGTGGTTCCCACGCCAGATTTGTTTTTTTGGGTCGAACTATTATCTATTTGTTGTATGAATAGATTTTCGGACTAACAAATAAATACATCATCGTTTATTGTGTGATATTTGTGTTGTATGATCTTCAATACATAAATACTTGTTGCAGTGTAAGTTCGGGGATTTTTTTACATATGAATCTGTAACAGTAACGTATGTCAGATGAAACACGTTGTTTTACCGCGCGTACGTTATAGCCGATTTGAGGTTTTTTTAAGGATCAGAACTTCTTTTGGTAATAACAAGGAATAATAATAATAATAATAATAATAATAATAATAATAATAATAATAATAATAATAATAATAATAATAATAATAATA